TCATCAATAAACTCCAGCCTGGCTCCGTGAAGAAGGTCAATGAGTCGACACAAAATTGGCACCAGGTGAGCCCAGACTCTAACTCTTTCAACCCCTCACCAGAGCCCCTCAGACACACCCCCTCCACTGACTGCCACCTGTTCCCCTACAGCTGGAGAACATAGGCAACTTCATCAAGGCCATCACCAAGTATGGGGTGAAGCCCCACGATATTTTCGAGGCAAATGACCTGTTCGAGAACACCAACCACACCCAGGTGCAGTCCACCCTCCTGGCCCTGGCCAGCATGGTGAGTGTGGGCCAAGGGTGCACATGGGGCAGAGGGACTCTGAACAGTCCGGGCTGGGATTTAAGTGGGGCCACTCATGTCCCTGATCCTAGCATGGGTGGGAGGGGCAGCAGGTGCTGGAAGGGGACAGTGCAGCCGGAGGCTCCCTTGTCAGTCCCTGCCCCCCTCCGCTTCCCCCAGGCCAAGACAAAAGGAAATAAGGTGAATGTGGGTGTCAAGTATGCAGAGAAGCAGGAGCGGAAATTTGAGCCGGAGAAGCTTCGAGAAGGACGGAACATCATTGGGCTGCAGGTACTCCCCTTCCCCAACTGGGTCTTACTGCTGCTCAGCCAAAGCTGGAGGTTGAGGAGGCTGGGAAGGCATCCTGGTCCCGAAAGGCTTCAGGGGACAGCACATTTGGTCTTAATGAAACTTTATGTGTGGCACTGTGCTCTAACTCTGTACCCTAACTCACTCCTCCAACAGCTCTACAAGGTAGGCACTGTTACCATCATATCATTTATACTGAAATCAGCTCACTTGTCAGGATCACCCAGGTGATGGGTGGCCAAGCTGAGACTTGAACCCTGGAAGTCAGGCCTGGGAGCTCTGAGCCATTTACTGAGCTGTGACACTTTCTCTGGGCCTCAGTTCCAGTCTATAGCCTAAGAGTGGAAACAGTGCTTTGTTAGAGGGCCATGAGTGTCCACTGACATCAGTACATCTTGTGGTCTGTGGTGAGCTCTGTAACTGAGGTGACTCTCCTTCTGGCTCCCTAGATGGGCACCAACAAGTTTGCCAGCCAGCAGGGCATGACGGCCTATGGCACCCGGCGCCACCTCTATGACCCCAAGCTGGGCACGGACCAGCCCCTGGACCAGGCCACCATCAGCTTGCAAATGGGCACCAACAAGGGAGCCAGCCAGGTGTGTGGGGGGCTGTGGGGTGGGCTGGTGGGGCTCTTGCCCCTTTCCATGCCCATGGTCTGACTGTGTGGCTTTCCACAGGCTGGCATGACAGCTCCAGGGACCAAGCGGCAGATCTTCGAGCCAGGGCTGGGCATGGAGCACTGTGATACTCTCAATGTCAGCCTGCAGATGGGCAGCAATAAGGGGGCCTCACAGCAGGGCATGACGGTGTACGGGCTGCCGCGCCAGGTTTACGACCCCAAGTACTGCCTGACGCCTGAGTACCCAGAGTTGGGCGAGCCTGCCCACAACCACCACCCACACAACTACTACAATTCTGCCTAGGGCCCTCGGCCTCCTGCCTTCCCCCCAGGGAGGCTGGCTGCTGCTCTCAGCAGGGCCTAGCCTGGCCCCGCTGACCCCTGCTCCCTGCATGGCGCCCTCCAGCCCCTGGCACCTGCCTACAGGGTTAGCATTTGGGGGTAGCAGATTGGGGGGCCTGTGTGGGGGAAGAGGGCTCTCCTCTCTGGAGTGCTGCAGGGTCCAACATCGAGCCGGGTGTTCCCAATAGCACCCAAAGGATGCACTGAGCAAAGCTACCCCAGCTGTCCCCCGACTCCCTCATAGGTGGGTTCCCCCCAGGACAAAAAGCCCCTCAAGCGAAGCCCCCAGAGCCCAGGCTCAGCCTGCCTCCACCCCATTCCCACAATGGGAGCCAACTGCATGCCCAGAGACCCAGCGGACACACGCGGTTTGGTTTGCAGCGACTGGCGTATGTGGATGTGACAGCGGTGTTTGTAACACGAGCACTTTCTTTTTCTATTTCACTGGAGCACAATAAATGGCTATAAAATCATCTGAAGACTGGCTGCTCTGTCCTGGAGCCTGCATGGCTCTTGCACAAACAGCCTTGCTCAGATAGGCTTCATCTCCCAAACACACATCTGTGTAGGCACACATCCTCCCATACACCTTAAGATACACAAAAGCTCACCCAGGCTGGACCAGGACAGACAGACATCCACACACACACATTTGGGGGGTATGGTGTGCATATGCTCTCTGCAGCCTTAGAGGCACACACATGCAGTGCACATTCCCACATAAAAAGACAAAAAACACAACCCCCCTTACATAGGTACACAATACCCACATACGCATGCTCAGTACCCATGTACTTTCCTGAGGGGTCCGTGAGTTGTGATGAAAGAGACCAAGTGCTGGGATGGGCTAGATGGGACAGGTTACCTTGGGCAAGTCACTTTCCCTCTCTAGGCCTGTTTTTCCATCAGGAAAATGGGGATAGCAAAGCTCATTGGGAAGCTTAAATAACAACTCCAAACACAATGACGTTTGGCACTGACTGATGGACAAGCTGGGTCCTGGAGGCCCCTGTGGGCAGGGGGACCCCTTTAGTCATGGAGTGCATTATTGGGGGAGAGTGAGTGGGGACAGGGCAGTGGGCAAGGACGGGGCATTTCAGGGGCTCAGGGGAATGGCTTTTTACCGACTGGCACAGAGCAGCTGAGTAGCTGCCTGCTGACATGGCTGCCTAGTGTGCCCAGCTCACTCTACCCTCTACTTAAGGCTGATCACCCAGTCTTGCCTGCCATTCCAGGACCGTAGAAGTTCGTGGACAAGCCCCCAACTTCCCTATGTTTCAGAGGGGAACCCGTTCTGTGACGTTGGCCCCAGTTATCCCTCTTGCATGCCACTGTCAGGGTTCCAAGGAGAAGATGCAGCCATGCAAGGTCACAGGGCAGCTTTCTCACCTTCCTTCCCCAGGGCAGGGTGGAGGCTGGAACACGAGGGATCTGCAGAGACAGACACCACAAGACCCCCATGCACAGATGGTATAGCCCCTGGGGTCTTGTAAACTGGATTCCACGCACTCTTGGCCTGGCTACTGTGAATTTTGCTCCTCTAGGGCCAGCTCAAGAAGCTATGCTGAGGATCCATACCTGGCTCTGGGCCCTGCCTCTTCTGGAAAACAGCACCATATTAGCACTTGGCCTGTGAGACTGGGGTGGGCGGGCCCTGGATGCCAGAGGATAGAGCCCCCTTTCCCTGGACCCCAGAAGCAGTCCTCCACTCTGCCTGTGACCACTGGTTCTTGTCTGGGCTAGAAGACCTTACCTGGGGCCTTGGAGGGGTGGTGGGAACACCAGGGAGGAGCATCTCAGGGCATGGTGGACTTCAGGGGCACATGCGAGACCCAGTGGCTGGGCCTGGTGGTCAGGGCTTCCTGCCAGTTAAGCATCTTCTTCAACTGTTCATATCTCTCAATGCCCATGCTAGGTATCTCCATCCTCAGCATGGCCCCCAGGAGGAAGGTTCCATCATCCTTCCCACGTACCAACGAGAAGTCCAAAGCACAGGTCCCCTGCTGCTCAGGCTCATGAGGCCAGGAGGCAAACTGGATTTGCCCCAGGCAACTGAGCGCCAGGACCTCCGTAACCACGAGACTGTCAGCCATATTCAGATGTGTGCTTTTTTAACACTACCAAGCAATGAACTAAATTCTGACACTACCTACCTGGAGATAGTGTCAGATCCCACAGAATAAGGGCTTGGTCCTCCAAGGTGGTCCACCCCCACTTCAGCTGCCAATTGCAAGTCCAGGAGCTTCTGACCATGGGGCTACAGAGTGTTTTCCCATGACCCGCTTACTAGGATAGTCATTGTACTCTGAGAAACATGTTACTTATTCGATTATAGATTTATTATAAAAGGATATAACCCAGAAACAGCCCAATGAAGAGCTGCAGAGGAAAGCAAGGGAAGGAGAGCAGAACTGCCATGCCCTCTCCATGTGCACCACCCTCCCAGCACCTCCATGTGTTCACCAACCTGGAAGCTCACCACATCTTTATATTTATTTAATTTTTAAATTAATTTATTTTTTAATCCTCACCTGAGGATACCTTTCCATTGATTTTCAAATAGAGTGGGAAGGAGAGAAAGAGAAATATTGATGTGAGAGACATCAATTGGTTGCCCTCCACACGACCCCAACCAGGGTCGGGGATCGAACCACAACCGAGGTACATGCCCTTGACCAGAATCGAACCTGCGAACCTTTGGTCTGCAGGCCGATGCTCTAACCGCTGAGACAAACCAACCAGGGCTATTTAATTTTTTTAAATTGAATTTATTAGAATGACATTGGTTAATAAAATTATATAGGTTTCAGGTGTTCATCAAATTGAAGTTTTTAGAAAGTTCAATCTGTAGTCTTTCCCTTTCTCTTCCCAGAGGTTGGTGGGCATAGCTGAGTTCCCACTCAGCAATCACTCAGTCTTTCTGTTGACCAGCCCATCCTGGGTGACCGCTCTGGAAATTCCAAGGGTTTTAGTAGCTCTGTGCCAGTAACAGGGACAAAGACTGATATATGTTGTGCCATATCCCTGCATCTGGCACCACCTCCAGCCTTTAAGACTCCTCACCAGCCTTGGACAAAAGCCCCTTTTGTGGACTCTTAATCCTCTCCAGAGCTCTCCAGCCCCCACAAAACCAAGAGCTGTTCCCTTAGTTGTGAAGTCAGGTGTCCCGGGTTTAAGGACCAGCTGTGCTGCTTTCTGGCGGTGGGACCTCAGGTCAGTGACCTCCCATCTCTTGCCTGTTCCTTCATCTGTGAGCCTGGGGCATCTGCCTCACAGGGAGGCTGTCAGGACAAGAGGGTAAGGCAGGCAAGCCTGAGAGCAGCAACTGGCACAGCGTGGCCCTTGAGTGTTAACTCCTTCCAGCCAGGAAGCCTTCCCTGACCACCCTGCTCCACCCCACCCCAGGCTCTGTTGGCCGTATTTCTCACTGGAAACAAATATTTGCCCAGATGTCTATGGGTCATCAGTGTCCCTTGCGGCCAGCACTGCCCTGATTTCACCCTGAATGCTGTCTAGTGGATAAGTGTTGGACAGTTTGAAGGACTGACCAAACCCCACTTCCAACGGCCTGCCAGGTTTCCCTCTCCCCACTCATTGAGCCCTGGGGACTGACCAGAACCCAGAAAACCAGAGAACCAGGAGTCTGCATCGGCTGCTTTATTTAAGGGCTTATGACCAACAGTTGTCCCCAATCCAGCCACTCCCTCCTCTATAAAAGCAACTAAACATGAACCAGGGACACCCTACCAGGGCCCAGCCGAGGGACCTGAGGTTTTGAATCTCAGGCCACAGTCCTTGGAAGATAGAGGAGGGCGGGCAGTCCAGTTCAAATGGGCAAGGTGTTTGGGAGGTGGGTGAGGAGGCTGGAGTCCTGAGGCTGTCTCTGCGGGGCTTGCTCTCACACAGGATGTCAGAACATTGGTCCTTGGAAAAGTCAGGGCCCCAGAGCCAGGAGAAACAAGGGCCAAAAGAGGGAGCAAGTCAAAGGCTTTTGGAGCCAAGGAAGGCAGTTCAGGCCCCCAGAGCCCAGCAACCACTCAACTCAAGCCCCTGCCCATGAGCACACCCCCATGGTCACACTTGCGGCCACACATTCACACCCACATCCACTCCACACACACACACACACACACACACACACACACACACACACACACACACACACACACACACACACACACAGAGGGCTGCGAGGGCCCTGGACCCACACCCTGGACCTCAGGAATGTCTCTGGATTGGTACCCAGTGGGCTGGTCTACGGCAGCGGGGCTGCCAAGGGGGTGGGTCCTCTGAATTGCTACTGATTGGCTGCCTCGCAGGCGTCTATCCAATCGCTATACACGTCCACTGGTTCTGATAGATCTGTCACTGAAGTCAAGGGCAACTGCTGGCATAGACACACCTTCCTGTACACATTTCTATAGCTCATGCTGGTGTCAGCAAGACCCCTGCCCTATACACTGTCATCCCACCTAAGCAAGCAGGTGGTATCTATTCCTCTGAGTGGCTGCAGCCCGGCATGGGGTACACAGCAGGGCCAGAGGTACAAGGACTGCATTCTACCCCCTTGCCCTTGGTCAGGTGTCCTTGAGCAACCCATCCTGGGCAAGGTAGCCCTGTCTACCCCCTCCCCACCTCCTGGAAAAAGCCCAGTTTCCTAAGGATACATGTGATCGGTGTTTGGAATTCCTCTAGGCATACAGTACAAGAGATGACTCCAGTGTTACGGGCACGGTCCCTGGAATGGGAGAAGATGGAGGGACTGGTAAGCAAAGAGGTCTATTCTAAAGGGGAGCCAACTGCCGAATGAGGGAGGGGAAGGCCCCATGAGGCAGGATTCCTGGCTCCCACCTCCCACTCACATTTTCACGTCACAAGATTTCTCATGGTTGCAGAAGGGGCAGGTGAACTGGGTCTCTAGGGTGCCTGTCATCTTCTTCTTTGGGGGCGGCTTCCGTTTTGACTTTCTGCGCCCCATATCTGCAGCAGAACGAACCTGTGAGGGGAGGGAACCAGAAGTCAGCGACTCATGGGACCCATGAGGCCCTCCAGATGCTCTAAGAAGCACGCTGGAAAGATAGTCCAGCTGGCTCCCAGGGAAGGGAGGACTTGTACAATGGTATCCTCTGGGGACAGCAGACAATCCCAGTGTACTCTGGGTAGTGGGTGATAGCAGGTTCTGAATTCTAACCCTGGCTCCCCCACTTACTACATGACCTTAAGTAGGTTACTTAATCTCTCTGTACCTCAAGTTTCCTTATTTATAAAATAGAGATGAGGTTCCTACCTCAGGGGGTTTGACATGACAAATCTTAAGTGCCTGCATAGTGTATGGCCCATCCAATGTCGGCACCTACATTGGAAGCCACTGTTCCTGGTGAGGACGACACAAGCAACTGACAGGCCAGTTGCCAGGGCTGGGCAGAGCCTAAGTGCTCAGGAGTTGACAATTTTAGAAGCAGCTGCTCTTCTTGTCAAGGGCCATGCAAGGGCCACCCAAAAGGAATGACACTCCCTGGGCAGCCTATCCACAGAAGAGAGCTCCTGGGCAGAGAAGTGTTTCAAGCAGAGGAACACCATGTACGAGGCTGAGGGGCAGGAATCTGAGTGCTAGGCTAGTGGTTGGGGACCACGCAGGTGGGGAACGGGACAGGCTGAAGAGGGAGCAGGTGGGAGGATTTCAAATGTTTAGCTAGATCCTGATGGCCATGGGAGAGAAACATCACTTTGAGCTTTTTTTAAAAAAAATTTCTTCTTTCTTTTTTTAAAATATCACCCAGGAACATTTTTGCATTTATCTTTAGATGGGGGGGGGGGGAGAGAAACATCGATGTGAGAGAGACACATTGAGTGGTTGCCACCCATGACCCCAACAGGGACCTGCGACAAACTGCAACCGAGCTACCTGCCCTTAGCGGGAACCGAACCTGGGTCTCTCTGGACCGCAGGCGGACGCTCCAATTGCTGAGCCAAACCGGCTAGGGCTCCTTCACCTTTTTCAATTAGTCCCTCAAACCCCCTCCCTTCTGGCAACCATCAATCTGTTTTCTGCATTTATGACTCTGTTTCTGTTTTGTTTGTTCATTTATATTGTTCTTTATATTCCACATACAAGTGAAATCATATGGTATTTATCTTTCTCTGACTTATTTCACTTAGCATAATACCTTCCATGCTGTGGCAACATCCTTATTCTTTTTTTTTATTCCTCACCCGAGGATATTTTTCTATTTATCATTAGATAGAGTGGAGGGGGGCGAGGAGAAAGAGAGACAGAGAGAAACATCAATGTGATAGAGCCAGACTGATTGGTTTCCTCCTGCATGACCCAACCAGGGCCGGGGACAAACCGCAACTGAGGTACGTGTCCTTGACCGAAATCGAACCCGTGACTCATTGGTTTGTGGACCCCTGTTCTAACAGCTGAACCAAACTAGCCAGAGCAACATCTTCATTTTTAACTGAGGATGCTTCCGAGTCAATGAATAAACAGAAGCAGTAGGCAGAGAACATCTACAAGCCTCCTGGACCACCCATTTGGCCTTGCCCTCTTTGTCTTAGAAGAATGTCCGTGGTCCCCACAAAACCAATTTGTGCCCTGGATCCTAACATCACATTTTCTGTCTCTACTAGATCATTAACAAACACATTTGTTACTTCCTCTCCCATCATTAAAAACAAACAAAACCCGCCAAAAATGAAACACCTCCTTCTTTGCAGGCTTTTCTAGTAGAGCTGTCTGTATTTACCATCTGTGTTCCCTCCCATTCTCTTTCCATCACCTGCCCCATGCTGCCCATCCCAAAGGGCAGTCCCCACTCCTCAGGGCACCGGTAACACTGGTTCACTCTTCCTGCCCTTCGCACAGGGCCCTCAGAACCCTGCACTTTTATACCCTGGACTCACTGACAGTTCCTTTCACTCTCTGCTACTGCTGATCCCCCATCCCCACTTCTTTAATGATAAGAGTCCACAAGCTCAATCTTTGGGCCCCTCCATTCTGTCTACACTCACCTCTATGGAGATCTCACCCAGCCTCAGGGCTTCCTATGCCTCCTCTACACTGATGCTACTTGCCTCTCTGGCCTTGATGTCTCCTTTGAACCACAGACTTACCCATCTACCTGTCTTGGTCACACCTCCACCTGATGCTAATAAATGTTTAAACATAACCTGTCCAGCCCTGGCCGGTTTGGTTCAGCGGTCGGAGCGTCGGCCTGCGGTCCTGAGAGACCCGGGTTCGGTTCCCGCTAAGGGCACGTACCTCAGTTGCAGTTTGTCCCCGGCCCTGGTCGGTTGTGCGGGTGGCAGCCACTCGATGTGTTCCTTTCACATCGATGTTTCTCTCTCTCTCGGTTTCTCTCTCTCCCTCCTACTCTACCTGAACAAAAAATGGAAAAATGTCCTCGCGTGAGGATAAAAAAAAATAAATAAATAAACATAACCTGTCCAAAACTGAGCTCCTGACACCTCAACCTGCTCTCTCGCATTCTTCCCCATCTCAGCAGAAAGCAAATCCATCTTTCCAAAAATCTTGGACTCATCCTCAATTCCTTTCTTTCTCTCTTCTCTCACACAGCTCTTATCTGATCCTGATCCTGTTGCTCCTCTAAAACACATCAGAATTTGACCACTTCTCACTACCTCCAGGGCGGTGTCCTGGTCTGAGTCCAGAGTCCTGGTCATCTCTGGTCTGGATCATCACAACAACCTCTTCATTGGTCTCCCTGCACCTCCAAATGTAAATTCCATAAGGGCAGGGACTTTTGTCTTTTTTGTGTGTCCTCAGAGCCAAGATCTGCTCAAGGCACAGAGCTGGCACTAAATAAACATTTACTGAGTGAATGAATGAATAAACCAATGCCAGGCCCTACACTAAACCACAGCAATGCTGTAATCAAGGCAGGCAAGGTGTCTGCTCTTGTGAAACTTATACTGTAGTGGATGAAGAGAGACCCGTAACAAGTTAACGAATAAGTGAAATCATTCCAAATATTGTTAAGTCCTATGAGGTTAACACCAGGACCAGGTGAACACTTCCAGAATGGGCCTACTGCAGATAAGAGTAGAATGGGAGGACCCTCTGGGTAAGTCATTTAAGCTGAGGCCTGAATGATGAGAGAAGGCGCCCTGCAAGGCAGTCCAGGCAGAGGGAACAGCAACTGCAAAGTCTTCGAGGCAGAAGCTTTTCTTGAGAAAGAGAAAGAAGACTGACTGGTACATCTAAAGCTTGGTGAACAATGGGGAGAAGGGTATGAGACGCGACAGAAGTAAGCAGCAGCCAGATCCCACAAGACCTTGCAGGCTTTAGTAAGGTGCAGTCAGTTCTGCAGCCCATGCTCACCTACCAAGGCAGTTTTGTCCCCGAAGCCTGGCCCTGGGTATCACCTGCAACATAATCACCTGGGGGCCTTCATAAACGGCTGTTTTCTGAACCCCACACTTGATCTATCCCCACTATTATGTCAGTTCTGGAGGGGTCGGGGCATGATTTTTCCAGCACGCATAGTTCCTGGTATGCATTAAGTGCTCAATAACTATTTGTTGAATGAACGAGTCTCCTGAATCAGAAGCTACAGATGGGCCCCCAAATCCCCTTTTACCCAGTGACTACGATAACCCATCCCAGGAAAGAGGGCTGGCCTGCCCCTCAAGCCCAGGGGTCTTGGCCTGCCCATCAAGCCCAGGGGTCTTGGCCTGTCCTTCGGCGACTACGACTAAGTCCAAACGCGCCAAGGGGGGGATGGAAGAGGGGTCGGCCCCTGATCCAGCCGTAACTCCAGAGGCGGAGGGAGGGCGGTCCCTCCAGGCTCACCAAGTCTTCGGCGGCGCCTTCTGCAGGTAGAGGCCAGGCCTCCGAACAGCCGTGCGGAGCCGGCTGGGACCCCGGGGAGTCAAACTCCCCGACGGGCCACCCTCGAAGCCCGGGGCCCTCGGCGCCTCCTCCGGGACCCCGTGAGCAGCCCCGACTCGAAGAGCACCCAGCCCCGCCCAACTCCAACGCCCTCCCGCGCGAACCGTCGCCTGCACTAGCCTGCTTTCCAGGTTGCGACGGCCTCGTTCACCCGAGAGAGAGTGACTTCCGGTTCTCAGCGGAAGCGGAATCTCATTCTCCCCTCACGTCCCGCCCACCCGTAGCCCTGCAGGCAGGACCCGCCTCCTTCAAATCTTTGTGTGCCTGCGAAGTCTCATTCCAGGGACGGGGGTGCGCCCAGCGGCAGTTTCGCAGTGCGCCTGCGCGTGGGTTTGAGCGCGTTTGACTGTATCTGTGCAAAGACAATTATTTCTGGTCAGTTTCTAGGGGTGGCGGATCCCGCATTTCAGGGCGGTGGGCCGGGCCATGCCAGGGCTGGAAATGTATCCTTGTCCTCGGTCGCAGCATCTTCTTGGGAATGTCTCGCTTGTCTTTCCCGATTCAAGCCCATCCCCGCGCAGCCCACCCAGGTCTCCCCAACGTGGGACACATTAAAATATCCCGGTGTCTAGGAATTGCAAGTAGTGTGGCTGAATCAGGGTGAGGGGGAAGCTTGTAAGACGCTCTTCTCCAACTTGAACAAGAACCTGCGGGTTTTACAATTGACATTTGATCACTGGTAATCTTGATAAGAACTGTTTCATTCCAGTGTTCAGGAAAATAACTTGTAATGAGGTGTATGTTAAATAGACCTATTTCTAAGATTTCCACTAGGGGGCAGGGCTGCCCTTAGAGTGCCTTTCAGGAAGACAACCCCCCCCCCCCCAACCTCCCCCCACCCCACCCCGTGCTGGTTACAAACCTGGACACAGCCTGGACGGGATCATACAATTAACGTTGCTTTGCAACTTGCTATTTCCACTTAATGGTCAATACGCATACAGATAACTCTTGTTTTTAGTAGCTACACAATTCATAGTGCAACTCTGCCATGGTATATGAGCAGTCCTCTATTTGCTGAAGTTTAGTTTTTCCCTCCCACCTTCCCTCCCTTCCTTCCTTCATTTATTTATTTACTTATTTATTTTAATCCTCACCTGGATTAAAAGTGAGGACACTTTTGCATTTATCTTCAGATAGAGCAGGAGGGAGAGAAGGGGGAAGAGAGAGAAACATCAATGTGGGAGAGACACATGGACTAGTTGCCACCCATATGACACCAACCTGGGCTGGGGACAAACTGTAACCAAAGTATGTGACCCTAGCAGGAACCGAACCTGGAACTCTCTGGTCTGCAGGCCAATGCTCTAACCGCTGAGCCAAACTGGCCAGGGTTTCACTTCTTTATTTAGATATAATCGATAGACAATAAACTGAATGATTTAAACTATGAAATTTTATGTCTTGACGTATGCATATACCCGTGAAACTATCACCACAATAGTGAATGTTTTCATCACCCCAAGAAGTTTCCTCCCATTTCTTTGTAGTCAATTCCTTCCCTGCCCCCAGCCCTGCCACCAGCTGATCTGTTTTCAGTTCCTATAGCTTTGTATTTTTCAGACAATTACATAAACAGTAATACAATATGGCTCTGGCCAGTTTTGCTCAGCAGTTAGAGCATCGACCCGTGGACCAAAGAGTCCTGGGTTTGATTCCAGTCAAGGACACGGACCTCGGTTGTGGTTTGTCCCGGCCCTCGTTGGGGTTGTGGGGGTGGCAACCACTGGATGTGTCTCTCTCACATTGATGTTTCTCTCTTCCTCTCTCCCTCCCACTTTGTCTGAAGATAAATGTAAAAATATCCTCAGGTGAGGATTAAAAAAACACACCACATAGGGTACATATATTCTTTCTGATTGGTGTTTCAGGCTTCTTTGGGTATATTCCTAGAAGTGGGATCACTGGGTCAAATGGCAATTCGATTTTTAATTTTTTGAGGTAACACCATAGTGTTTTCCATAGTGGCCGCTCCAGTCTGCATTCCCACCAGCAGTGTACTAGAGTCCCCTTTTCTGCACAGCCTCACCAACACTTGTTGTTTGATGATTTGTTGATGGCAGCCATTCTGGCAGGTATGAGTTGATACCTTATTATTGTTTTAATTTTCATCTCTCTGATTATTAGTGATGTTGAGCATTTCTTCATTTGTCTCTTAGCCATTTGTATGTCCTGTTTGGAGAGGCGTCTATTTAGTTCCTCTGCCCATTTTTTAATTGGGTTCTTTGTCTTCCTTTCGTTTATCTGTATAAGTACTCTATATATTTTAGAACTTAACCCCTTATCTGATGTATCATTGGCAATTATGCTCTCCCATATAGTGGGATCCCTTTCCATTTTGGTGGTTGTTTCTGTTGCTGTGCAGAAGCTTTTGAGTTTGATGTAGTCCCATGTGTTCATTTTCTCCTTTGTTTGTGTTGCCTTAGGTGCTGTATCAGTGAAAATTCTGCTGCAGGTGATGCTGAAATTTTGTTGCCTACATTTTCTTTTAGAATTTTTATGGATTCAAGAGTCACATTTAAGTTTGTTTTTTTTTTTATCCATTTTGAGTTTATTTTTGTGTATGGTGTAAGTTGATCATCTAGTTTCTTTTTTTTGCATGGGGCTGTCCAATTTTCCCAACACCATTTATTAAAGAGGCTGTACTATTTACAATAGCTAAGATCTGGAAACAGCCCAAATGTCCACCAGTAGACGAATGGATAAAAAAGCTGTGGTACATATACACAATGGAGTACTATGCAGCTATAAGAAAGAACAATCTCTTATCCTTTGAGATGACATGGAGGGATCTGGAAAGTATTATCCTAAGCAAAACAAGCCAAACAGAGAAAGACAAGTATCATATGATCTCACTTATTTGTGGAATATAATGAACATAACAGTCTGAAGAACAGGGTAGTCCCAGAGACGTGGAAGTAGGGTACAGAGTGACAATCTCCAGAATGTGGAGGGGATAAACCACAGAACTTATATAAATGTATACATAACCAATGGACATGGACAACAAAGCTGGGGACAGGGTAGGGAGGAAGGGGGAGGAGGGTGTCAATGGGAGAAAAAGGAGAAACATCTGTAACAAAAATAAATAAATAAATAAAATAAGAAAAATAAAAAACACAAAACAGTAATGCAATATGTAGTCTTTTGAGTTTAGTGTCTTTTACTCAACTTACTACCCTCGAGTCTATGTTGTATCTATCAGTAGTTTGTTTCTTTCTTTTTTTGAGTTGTAGTCCATTATGAGGAAAATTCAGCTTGTTTATTCTTTCAGCTATTGATGTACATTTGGGTTGTTTCCAGTTTGGGACCAATGATGACTAGAATTACAATGAGTCATCTAATTCAGATCTTTGTGGGGATACTCATTTTCATCTACTCTGTTTTATTTTTACACTGAAATGTATGATCCTTCTGGAATTTATTCTTGTATATGGTTAGAAGTAGGGTTCAGACTCTGTCTTCTGGGCAAATCAACAAGGCAAATTATACCTTTTCTGTGAAGTTACAATATAACCTGCAACCTACATCACATTTTCCTGTGTTCTTGAGTTTCTTTCTGGATTCTCTCTGGGTGGTTTCCTGTAGCCAATGTTGTGCTGTTTTGATGACAGTGCATTTCGCTGTTTGGTAAGACAGGTCTTTTATCTTCTTATTCATGACTCTTAGCTTTGGAAGCTAGTGAGGAGGTAGGTGTGGCCAGATTATCTGGGGACAAACTACTTGCTGCTTGAGGGTGCTGGTGCTCATTCTTTAGTGTGAAAAGTAGAGCGGGGACATGATACTACCCGTGATGATTGAAACAAATGTGGTTGCTTGAGAAGAGTGAGAAGAGATGAATCCCTGCAATTGGCCTTGAGGAATTTTGTCATCTTGTTCTTTGCAGTTTAGAAGCCATCTTTCTAACAATGGCTGGTTGGTGTTGTTCCCCCAAACCGTACAGAAGCTCTCTGAGAGCGAATGTCTACTCTGTTTTATTCTTTTTGGTGTCCCCAGCTATCTGACACAGGACTTGGTCCAAGTGCTTGGTCGTTGTGGTGGAGGGGACCAGCCCTTTTCCTGCCACTCATTCCCTGAGTCAGCTTTGATGTATCACTTCTCCTTTCCAAGCTCTGGGCCCTGTGAACCAGGACATTGGGCTAATTCCACGGTTTAGGCCCTGCCAGCAGGGACATTGGACTGACCTCTGATTCAGACCCCTTCCTGCCCAGAGCCTCTGAGTCATTAGGAAGAGTCTGGGTGGCTGTGAGCTGCCTTGACTGTTGTGGGTTTTTTGTTTTTTTTTCCCCTTTATTGATTTTAGAGAGAGAGGTAGTGAGAGGGAAAGAGAGATAGAAACATTGATGAGAGAACACTGATTGGCTGCCTCCTGCATGCCCCCCACTGGCGACCGGACCCACAACCCAGGCATGTGCCCTGACCAGGAATCGAACTGGTGACCTCTTGCTGCATGGGTTGATGCTCAACCACTGAGCCACACAGGCCAGACTTGACTGTTGTGGTTAAGATTAAGAGTCTGCCACTTCCTGGGCATGACCTTGGGCACTTAATCTGTTCTGTTTCTGTACTGTCCTTTGAGAAGCAAGGTTGGTTATGGCCCTTCTCTCATGGGTCGGGATTAGAAGTGATGGTGTTTCTGTGGCATAGAGCTTGGCTGGTAGTAATGCCAGTCAGGTAAACATCAATTGGAAGGAAATCAGGCCTGGTCTTTGGGTAAGATAGCTTTGCTTAATTTTAGCAGTAACAAATGCACGTTATAACAAATTTGACAATATGGACATCTCTAGGGAATGGAAAGTACTCCTTCAAGTTCTGCTCCCTAGCAGTAACCTCAGTTACATTTTTTCCAGGCTATTTCACTTCACTCAGCTGGGCTGGCAGTCCCTGCCCTGTAGCAGCTGAAGCAGTAGTCGAGGGCAGGCCAAGGGAGAGGTTTCTGTGACTCGCCTGGTGCTAGATGGCTCAGGTGCCTGTGGGTAGGTGTTATTCAACTCTCCCCAGAGGGGAACTGGGTGTCTCGCAGCTTTCAGCTCAGGATGCACATTCTGCTTTCAGCATTCATCATAAGAAACAGGCCCTGAACCCTGGCCAGGTAGCTCAGTTGGTTAAAGCGTTGCTGGTACGCCAAGGTTACGGGTTTGATCTCGGGTCAGGGCACAAGCCAGAAGCAACCAATGAATACATACATAAGTGGAACAACAAATTGATGTTTCTCTCTCTCTAAAATCAATCAATAAAAATTTTAAAATCCTCTTAAAAAAGAAAAAAGAAACAGGCCCTGAAATAATGCTTCTGAAAGTTTTTCTACGCACATACTTGCACAGATGTACAAAAGTGTGGGTCCAGGGATGCATACAGTTCTGTACGTATGTTAGCAAAAGGAAAAGACTGGAGAAGATGTCAGCGGTCCTCAGCAAGGAGCCGGTGACATAGGTGGAATCACTGTGGCTGTTAAAGAGAATGGCAGTCCTGCTCTTTGGAATGTATCTTGTTTATCCTACAAACACATCTGCCCATGTAGGAAACAGGGACAGGGTCATTTATTGCATTACTGTTTGAAGATAGCATTGGAAGCAATCCTGGTAACCCTTAGGAGAGGGCTGGTTAGATAGGCAGTGGGTCGGGCACATGGTGAGGCCTCTATAGCCCCAGAAAGAGCCAGAAACCACTGAGAGCAGATAGGCAGATCTCTAGGTATAACAGGCAGGAATGGGAAAGAGCAGAGAGCACCTTTGGGGGTGCAGGACATGCTTATACCTCTATCTTTTTATTTATTTGTTTATTCTCTTTATTTTTTTTAAATCTTCACCCAAGGACATTTTTGCCTTATCTTCAGATAGAGTGGGAGGGAGAGAGGAAGAGAGAGAGAGAGAAACGTTGATGTGAGAGAGACACATTGAGTGGTTGCCACCCACACAACCCCAACCGGGCCTGGGGACACACTGCAATTGAGGTATATGTGCCCTTAGCGGGAACTGAACCTGGGCCTCTCTGGTCTGTGGGTTGACGCTCTAACCAGCCAAGGTATTTATTTATTTTCTTTATTGATTTTAAAAAGAGAGGAAGGGAGAGGAAGAGAGAGATAGAAATACCAATGAGAGAGAACATTGATTGGCCGCCTCCTGCATGCCCCGCACTGGGGATTTGGCTCACAACCTGGGCATGTGCCCTGACCAGGAATCAAAGCGGTGATCTCCTGGTGCATGGGTCGATGCTCAACCACTGAGCCACACCGGCCGGGCTATACTTGTATCTTAATTGTGGTAGAGCTTTGTGGGTGTGTGTCTTTGTCAAAACGCCTGGAACTGACATACTACAAACCTCACAGGAGAGGCATAGGGGTGGGAAGAGATAAACCAAAGAACTTCTGTGCATATATGTATAACCAATGGATGAAGACAATAGTGTGGGGAAGGCAGGAGGAGTGTGTGAGTGGGGAGGAGGAGGTCAATGGAGGAATAAAGGGGGAACATCTGCAACACTTTCAACTATAAAGATTAAAATAAATAAATAAAATGTAAAAAAAAACTATGGAACTGTACATTTTAAATGTGTCAATTACACCTAAATAAAGTTGGTGTGAAAAAACAAAGAAACCCCAAAAAGCAAGGTGTAGACAGTAAAAAGGGAGGGAAAATTCACGTTTGCTTTTATTTGCAGAGAATATGGAGGGAAACAAAACATTTATAAAAAATGATTTCTTTTTAGGAGACAGGGAGGGAGAGACAGGGAGGTGGGTGAGAGAGTTCACCTTCCTATAAACTTGAGATTTTAGAGCCATGTGACCTTGTTAGCAATTTCGTGCGGAAATTAACAAAATTGTGTTCTGTAATGAACGGTTGAGTTGTGGTTAAGTAGAAAGAACAGTTGTGGTTAACTAGAATGAACACGTGTTGAACTGTGTGGCTATTGTGTTCCTTCATAGAAAGAAAGGATGTTTTTATGATGGAGGCATCAATTGTAGAAGGAAAGAAAATGATGATGGTGGTTTCTCTAGGGAGGTGGGCTGGGAGAGGAAGGCTGGTATGTTATACCCTTTTTTCTGTTTGGTCTTTTTTTTTTTTTTTTTTGCAGCAAAGCAAGCAAGAATTTATTGGCTGAAGCAAATGCTTCAGGACAGTGAAACAAGAAAAGTCTGAGGATAGAAGCAACAGGAGAGCCTAGGAGCTGCTTTGGCTCTCTGGGAAGTCAGAGAAAAGGGGACTTGGGGACAGGTTCAGGGGGTTAGCCTGGGACAAGCTGCTGCTGCCCACTGCTCCCCTGTTTGCAAGTGTTGTGGGGTCCCTTAGAGTTTAGGAGATGCATGCCTGTGGGAGAAGAGGGAGGAGGGAATGGCACACCATATTGATCTTTCCTTAAAATCATATCCATGTATGGGGCCAGCTGGTTGTGGATGGGGTTAAGAGCTGGAGGTGCAGGCCAGCAAGCAGGGAAGCCAGACACTCTAGAATCCATGTGATGCAACTTGCCAGAGAGGTGAGCAAAGGGACACTTGTGATACACTTGCAGTCTTGCATCTATTCTTTTTTTAAAAAATGTTTTTATTGATTAAAAAATAGCTTTTTATTGATTTTTTTAGAGGGGGGAGAGAGAGAGAGACAGAGAAACATCTATGTGAGAGAGAAACATTGATTGGCCGCCTCCTGCTTGCTCCCCACCAGGGACTGAGCCTGCAACCTGGGCATGTGCCCCAACTGGGAATTGAATTAGCAATCTTTTGGCGCATGGGATGACGCTCGACCAACAAAGCCATACCAGCCAGGGCGCATCTATTCTTTTATTGAATATTTGGCAGTGGCAGAAGGATGTCAGTTTCAAGAGCATGTGTGGTTCTCCTTCCTGCTCAGCAGGACCGTAGGCCCCTGAGAAGTCCTGCTAAGAGGTGGGGGTCCCAGCCTCAGGCCCCTCACAAACGCTCAAGCCTGGCTTGCCTTGGCAGCCTGGTCTTGAAGAGGGACTTGCCAGAGGCCTCGATATAAGTGATGCTCATCTCTTTGGGGCTGATCTCCACGTAGGTGAAGCCGCCCAATGAGTTCTCAACCCCGTAGTGGAAGCGTAAGTAGCCGCTGGGAACCTTGCGAAAGTGCCTCCTCGAGGGGTCCATGAAGTTCCCAGCTCCACTCAGTATGTAGCCAATGCCGTTCTCATCCTGAAGGTACTGTGGATGGAGGACTCAAGGTCAGTGGAGCCCCCAGCCCCTCAGTGAGACTGACCATGGGCTTTCTGCCCACCTGTCGTGAGTCCAGAGTCTCAAATCACCTTGGGCAGGGAATGTAAACCCTCTTTGGGCCTCAGTTTCCCCCCCTGTAGGAGTGTACTGATCCTACTTCACAAGTCTGCACTGAGTAAGCTACTGGCAACTGGTAGCTATTATGATGGCTTTCAGGGAACTTTGGGCTATTTTCCTGGTTAAAGAGCATAGAGTTTGAGGGAGAGTAACATTTGGGAGACCCCCCAAACAGCAGGAGGATCCCCATGTGCCATGTGACCCCTTATCTGGCTCCCCACTCCACTCCACCTGCAGGCCCCTCACCTGCAGGTTGTGGTCGTGGCCACTCAGGTAGGCGGTGACCTTGTACGTGGCCAGCAGTGGCTGCAGTTTACGGACCAGGCAGTGGGTGGGCCCATGCTCAGCAATGGACCACACTGGGTAGTGACCAGCCACCAGCACATAATCCTCCTTGGCTGCTGCCAGCTGCTTCTTGAGCCAGGACAGCTGCGTACGGGCCATGTTTGGGTCACGGGGCTTCTGTGGCTGCTGACTGAGGAAGTCATCGGAGTTGCCACACAGTGTCACTGTGTCCAGCATGAAGATGGCTACGGTCACATTGGACTGTGGGATCTTGAAGTGCAGGCGGTAGTAAGGGCTGGGGAAGTTCCTATGGAGGGGATAGAGATGGTATGCACACATGTTGGGTGGAGAGGCCCCAGGGTTAGCTCAGGCCAATGGGCCCCTCTGTCTACCTGAGTGAGGTTTGGGGGATGAGTGGGGAGCAGGCTCACCAGCGCTTGGAGATCTTGGAGTAAGCGATTTGTGCTGAGAGGTTGCCCAGATGGTCATGGTTGCCAGCCAGCACGTACCAGGGCACATTGCGGAGGGAGGGAGCAGAGAACACATCTTCAAAGGTCTCCTGCAGCAGACAGAAAGGCACCCCCACCCCAGGGTCACACAGGCACCCCCATGCTCCCACCAAGTCAGGAGCTGGGAACAAGAGAGACACTGAGAGCTCCAAGTCCCCACAAGTGTCGGCTTTCCTCTGCCTTCTTCAGAGTCAAAAGGTTGAGTGGCTTGTCCACATGTCCCCCACCCCCACTCCAGGGCACACACCTGGAACCTCTTGTCATTGGCATTCTGCACACCAGTGAAGTAGAAATTGTCCCCCAGCGACAGGATGAAGTCTGTGCCTAGGATCTTCGCAGTCCTGGCAATCTCCTTGGCATTGGCTGTCTCCCGGGCTGTGTAGAACGGGGCATTGGGGACTCCTCCCCAGTCACCCACAGCCACAAAGCGCAGGACAGGGGCAGCGCCATCAGCCAGGGGCAGCACCAGCGAGGTTTGCAGGATGAGCAGCACTGTCCTTGTGTTCATCTGGGAGGGGAGAGACAAACATCTGGGGGCCTGGGGTAGAGGCATGGTCAGTAGGCTCTTAAGACACCCACTTGTCCTGCTCTGGCCCAGCGGGGAACCCCCCTGGTGGTGCTGTAGTTCCCAGGACTGCAGAGCAAAGCTGGCTGGAAAGGTGAGCAGGTGGGTGGGGTCCAGCAGGGGTCAGGAAGGGTGGCCATGCAGGCCCATTCTGCCCTCCCTCATCCCAGACCCAGCACTCACCCTGATGGAGGCACAAGCCAGTCAGCTGGGCGCTCCAAGGGGCAGGTGGGTTACAGGGCAGAGCTGGCAAGGGTCACTGAGCCTTTATTCTCTGGGGTGGAACGGATCATTAGTGAGGATGATGCAGTTTCTCCGAGGATTGTTTCAGAAGCCTTCCCCTTAGGTCATGTGAGCCTTGGAGTTCCCCAGCCAGTTAACAGTGGATTGGGGTGAGGGTCTGGCACCAGAATGCAGCCCTGCCTACCTCACAGCCTCTGCCGGAATGAGCCTGTCTGTGCTGTGGGCCCAGGGTGCCGTTATCTGCTGCTGTGTATGCCCCAGCCAGACACATCTTGTGTGCCCATGTTCTTCAAGGACGTGTTTATCTGCCTGTGTCTGGATGTGCCTGAGCTGCTTTCTTTGTGTAGCCAAGCGTGCCTGCCTGGTCACAAGTCTGCTGTGTGCCTGGGAGTCTTGTGTACTCTGGACCAGCAAGGCCCATGTGTCTGTGACTGCACCTTAATTCTCAACTGAAACTGTGTGGGATGATGACTTGGGGGGGTCCCTGTTTTATGTCTGGGTCGTGTTGTGTGTCTGCATTGTGTCTCTAACGTGAGTTGTGTGTATGGTGTGTGTGGTGTCTGACAATATCTGAGTTTGTGTCCCAGGGTCATACCCCTCCCCCAAACAGCAGGGTCTCCCTTTTCCAGGAAGTCCTGCCCACACCTTCCCCTCCTCTCCACCCCCACTCCTGAGAGAGGAACCCAGGCAGAAGGCAGCTGATGACACTCGCATGTGACCACAGACCTTTGACCCTCACACCCTCAACAGCTGCTGGTAGGCTCTCCGAGTGACTCCAGTCTCTGACGGGCGCCTGGCGCCCTGCACGTGTGGCCCGTCGGACCTGCCGCTCACCTCCCTGCCTCCCAGCCTCTCTCTTCCAGCCTGATTGGTCCCTTGTACACTCACGCAGGTCCCCACGCCGTCCCCTGCCAGGGTGCATAGGGGCCCCTCATTCAACGCCTGGGTCACCCGGCTCGGGCTGGTTGTCTCTCGCAGCAGCCCAGGCAAACAGGAAGCGGGTCACGAGGACACGGGGAGACCCCTCCCATGGGAGGAGGCCAGCACGTCTACACCTGCAGGGCCGGTCTCACCTGCGGTTGGCGGGGGCCCGGGGTCGAGGGCGATGCCAGGCCCCCAGGGAGCCGAGCTGCAGAAGTGCGGGGCGCTGGCAGTCGGGGGTTGCCCCGCTTTCGGGTGGCAGCGGCCCACCCACCTTGCCCGCGGGCCGGGGACCGCCCAGGTGACCTCTGGGGCCCAGCGCTCCCAGCCCCGCCCGGCTCGCCCCGCCCCGGAATCCCGCTCCGCCACCCGCGCTGCATCTGTGAAATGGGGTAAGCGCCTCAGAGGGCGGCGCGTACACAACGACTGGGGGACCCGATTTCCCCCCTTATCTCTATGTAGGCCCAGAGTCGCCTCCTGCCTTCACACTTGGGGCACCACAGCCCAGATCCAGCGCTGGGTGGGGACTCACCCTGGGCTGGGCCACGCTCTAGTGAAGAAGTCTTCAACCTGTTTCCTGGTTTTTAAAATGGGTGTGAGGGCAAAAGAGTCAAATCTTTAGAAAGAATTCCAAATCATGTAAGTTGAAAGTCCTCTCTAGGAGCTAGAGCTCAACCCTCCCAGCCTCCTTTGGAGTGTGGACAGGGCTCAAAAGAGTTATTGACTCTCATCCAGTGAATAAAGTATGGAAAAGCAAAAGATAGGAACTTTCCAGTGGAGACACCTGGCAGACACCACCTTAACCAGATGGTCCTGGCTAACATCATAGTGGTTAAGGCTGCTTGATATCAGGTAGTGAGAAGGGTACCTCATTACACCCCAAATGAAGGATGTCCTACAGAAGACCCGATCAGTGCTCTGCAAAAATGCCCCAGTCATGAAAAAGAAAAAAGTCTGAGGAGGTGTCATGGACTGGATGAGACCCAGCAGATATGAGGACACAGTGAAATATGGGATCCTGAGCCAGAAAGGGGGCATTGGTGCCCAAACTCGTGACACCCAAATAAAGCCTGCAGTTTCCTGAATTGTAACACAACCGAGAAACATAATTTCTCCGCAGTTACAAGTGGCCATGCCTATAGGGGAAACAGGAGCATATGGAAGCACTTTGTACTATTTTTGGCAACTTTTCTGTAAATCTAAAATATTCCAAATTAAAACAATTTACTTTGAAAATGGGTATAATCCAAAAAACTGAAAAATGTTTTCAACATATATTAGGCACCCACTGTTTGCCCCGTACTGGCTGACACAGCAGTGGGCAGGACAGACAGGAAAATCCACCCTGCTGGAGACATTTATATTCTACCTATTAATTACTCTCCTTTTTTGGGGTGGGGTGGGTCATCTCTTTCCATTTTATAATTTATGTACTCTTTGCAGTTTTGCTTAAAAACCTGGTTAGTTTAAAAAAAAAAAAAAAAAAAAAAGCCTGGTTAGTTATTTTACCAGCAGAGCAAATATAAACTTCCTTTTAACATATCTGTGGTCTAATGTAAATACAGGAAACAGAGACCTCACTACAGGTTCAGGGCAGTGGTTGCTTTCTGGGGAGACAGGAAGGGGAATGGAATTGGGGTTCAAGGACAAGGGGTTTGGAAAAGGGGTTTCAAATCAATACCTACTGTTTTATTTCACATAAAAGGAAAAAAGAGATTATCAGAACCAATTAGGACCAAATGTTAACATTTGTTTCTTCATGTGGCTAGTACAGGAGTGTTTTAGGGGTGATCTATGCTTCCTGTCTTTTTTTTTTTTAATCACACAAAATTATATTTATTATCTTACTGTAATATGTAGTCTTTATAGAAAAGTTGGAAAATACTAAAAAGCACAAAGAAAACAATTACACTCTCCAGTAATACCTCTGCCTGGAGAGTCACTATCCATTAAGTCTTTTTTCTGTTGATTTCTCTATGCCTATATTTGTCTTCAGAAAAATGGGATACTAGTGATACCATTTTTATAAAGCCTTAAAGTGTTAACATTTTCTCTCTCTATATATTTTTATCCTCACCCGAGGACATTTTTGCATTAATCTTCAGATAGAGTGGGAAGGAGAGGGTAAGGAAGAGAGAGAGAGAAACATCAATGTGAGAGAGACACATTGACTGGTCGTCACCTACACAACCCCAACTGGGGCCGGAGACAAACTGCAAGGAAGGTATGTGCCCTTAGCAGGAACCGAACCCGGGTCTCTCTGGTCTGCGGGCCAATGCTCTAACTGCTGAGCCAAACCGGCCAGGGCAACATTTTCTACATATTTTTTTAAATTAAAAAGTATGCAAAAGCACGTGATTAAAATAAACCAGGTTTTGTGCAGTGCGTGTAATGAAATTTGTGGATTCTCTGGTCGTCTCTGGGATTCTGAGTAAGCTGTTCTCCTTCCATGTGCCCAGAGAAATTCTGTTCTGCTGATTTTCTGTGAGGGTAGACCAGGACTTGGCTCAGAGCCTCTCTCCCCCTCCAGTCCTGCCTTGCTTCCCAACAGCAACGTTAATCCCATGGTTGAGTGCCTCCTTTGGCACCTGTGTACCCTGCCCCGCCTCCCCTCTCCCCTTGCTCTTACCACTTCTCTTTTTACCACTTCCTGGAATAGGGACATGCTCTGACCTCAGGGCCTTGGCACTTGCTGTTCCACTTCCTAGAAGACTCTTCCCTCTCCAGATTACCCCCACCTCAACCCTGTGGATCCCCTAAAATACACCCCTCTACCCCCATCTGACTCCCTCTCCAGCTGCATTTTTCTCTGTCACTCTTAGCAGGACCTGACAAACACACATCTTTCTTTTGGTCTGTCTCTCCAAGGCGGTAAGAACTTTCTTGGTCCGGTTCTCTGTTGTGTTTCTCTGGCATCTAGAATCCAGGTGCACAAAGGTGGTTGCTCCAGAATTATTTGGGGGATAATGGAGCAAAGGGATACCCTTTCAGGACCCCTCTATCCTCTGGTCTGAATGTGCAGCCTCCCCTGCTCCCTCCTGGCTTCATCCCTTGAATGGATTCCACCAATTCCTCTACAGCTGGCTTCGATTCTAATGTCAGTGGCGTTGTGGTTGATAATCTGCTCTGGATGCAACTCTTGGAGATACTTCAGTGAGCCCTGCTTAGATTCTGCATCCCTCTCACATTCTAGCCACAGTGCCCAAGTCACACTAAGCACCTCAGGGCCCACCGCAGGGCCTTTGCACTTACTGTCTTCTCCACTAGACCATGCTCCCCTCATCTTCCTGTCATTGAGTACTTGGCTTAAATGCCACCTTCTCAGACTACCCTGACATAATTAGCACCCCCTCACCCCTCAGTCTCTACCATTGTCAAGCACCCCTTCCCCATTCTCCCCACCAAGAGTTCCTGTAAAAGCAGGTCTGAGTGGACACCCAATGTACTCTCAGTGGGGGCAGATGTGGACACAGGGCTAACATTACTTCTGACAAGCACAGGTCAGTGAAGGCAGGTGGGCACCAGACTCGCACGTGTAGTGAGAGAGCACACAGAGGCCAGTGGGATAGTATCAGGAGGTGGGGAAGAGAGGCTAAAGGGGTCATAGGAACAATGGCCTGTAGCTATGGAGTGGACACTGGTTCTGGAGAGTGACGGATTTGGAGGATAGGGTCCAAGCTGTGTTTTTAAAATATCAAATATCAGTCTGGAAAAAAAGCAAGTCAAAGACAAATCTATATCATCCATCTATCCATCTATTTATCATCTATCTCTCTCTCTCTCTCTCTCTCTCTCTCTCTCTCTCTCTCTCTCCATATCTCTGTCTACCTTTATCTATATCTATCTCTATCACTGTCTACATCTATCTTTCTACCTATCAATCACTATACTTGATACACTATATCTTTTTTTTTTTTTTAAACATTTTTTTTTAATTAATTTTTTTATCCTCACCTGAGGACATTTTTCCATTTTTTTGTTCAGATAGAGTGGGAGGGAGAGAGGAAGAGAAAGAGAGAGAGAAACATCGACGTGAAAGGGACACATCGAGTGGCTGCCACCCACATGACCAACCAGGGCCGGGGACAAACTGCAACCGAGGTACGTGCCCTTAGCGGGAACCGAACCTGGGTCTCTCTGGACCGCAGGCCAATGCTCTAACCGCTGAGCCAAACTGGCCAGGGCGATACACTATATCTTGATACAAAACTATAAGTGCTGTGCTCGCTTCGGCAGCACATATACTAAAATTGGAACAATACAGAGAAGATTAGCATGGCCCCTGAAAAAAAAAACCCCAAACTAAAAGTGCTTGGTTCTATACACCAAGAAGAAATTCTGGTGCCAACAGGAACCAAATTAAGAGTGATATCCTTGCCCTGGCCGGTTTGGCTCAGGCCCATGAACCAGAGAGACCCGAGTTCAGTTCCCGCTAAGGGCATGTACCTTGGTTGCAGTTTGTCCCTGGCCCCGGTTGGGGTTGTGTGGGTGGCAACCACTTGATGCGTCTCTCTCACGTTGATGTTTCTCTCTCTCTCTTCCTCCCTCTCTCCCTCCTGCTCTATCTAAAGATAAATGCAAAAGTGTCCTCAGATAAGGATAAAAAAAAAAAATAAAAGAGTGGTGTCCTCTCAGGAGAACTGTGATGGGACATCATTACTTTCTACTTTATTAATTTCTTTATTTAATTCCTCTTTAAAAATTATAAGCTGGTAATATTTTTGTCATCAGGAAAACAATGTTTACCTAAATAATCATTCTGATGAAGCATGGGCGATTGCTGAGGGAGGGTAAGCCTGCAGCGAGCGGACCCAGAACTGGCGCTCTGGACGGTGTTCAAAGTGGTGCTGCCCGGGTGCTCGGCAGCTGTCTGCCTGGGCTCATACTCCAGTTCCTCTGCTCTTCCTTATGTGTATGACTGTTGGCTAGGGATCCTACCTCTCTGTACCTTATTTCTTCACCTTTAACATAGATGGTACAGTCGTTCAATGCAGGGTGTTGTGTGGATCAAAAGACCTGCCACGGATGGAACATGCGGAATAACACCTTGCTGGTGGCAATCGCTCACTGTAAGCCAGCTGCCATTGCTTACTATTATTATTATTGTTGTTGTTATTATTGCCATCACTATAATGTGTATTATTAGATAGACTAGGGCAGTGGCAATTTGAATAAACTGAACATGTCTAAGAAGCAGAAATGGTGGTTGGGGGACCAACTCAGTCCAGTTTGCCTCAGACCTTCCTGTTTTAGCGTAGAAAGTCCCACATCCCAGAAACCCTCTTGGTCTTGGGTACACTGGAAGACAGTTGGTCACCCTAAGATAGATCTTGGGACCCAAAGGTAACAGGGAGGAATCTCTGGCAACTTCCAGCTTTTGGGCCTGGTAAATCAGAACCCACTTCAAGGACCCTCAGGGAGACGAACCATTTGGGGGAAGGACGTAAACCCAAGTGCGGATGCATTGAATTTGAGGGACCTCTTGCCTGTCCAGGTGGGAGAAGACAGATTTTCCTGTGGGAAGTTCAGATAGACATTCCATAATTTTATTCTGAAATATTTTAAACATACAGCAAAGTTGGAAGAATTATACAGTGACTACCCACAGATTTCTGGATACCACTATTAAAATTTGAATATATTTGTTTCAATATCTATCCATTCATTTATCTTACTTTTTACCCATGTTAGTATAAGTCACAGACATCTGCACACTTTCCTCTCAAGACTTCAGTGATCATATCATTAACTAGAGTTTAGTATTTGTTTGCAGTTCTTTTCTCGGATGTCAAATGTACATACAATGATATACACCACCCTTAAGGGTACCCAGGCTGAGTTCTGATAAACCTCAAACAGACCCTTTAAGGAAATTATTTACTCATTTCTGGTGAGTTTCCAAACCACAATAAAAGTTACTAGAAGCAGCTCAGGTTCTGCCACAGGCCTAAAGCTCTGTGATGTGGAGCTAGTGGCTTAACCTTTCTGGGTCTCAGCTTCCCATTTCTGAAATGGGAACAGTGCCTTTCTGAGAGCTGATGTGGTTCTTGTGTAGTACATCTATGAAGAAATAATGAAGAATGCCTTAAAAAACACTCACTGTTCATATTACCCATCTGGAACAGTAAAAATAACATTATAGTTGGTGGAAGAAGAAATTAAAGGGCAAAGTATGTTGTTGAAAAATGTCAAAGATGCCCAAGATAGGTACCAGCGTGGGGCACAGGTCAAGGAGAGGGAGGCTGTGAGCTAAGTCCTGACCCACCACCACAGAAAACCAGCAGATGGGGGTGAAGAGAGGGAGAACCTTGTGCATGCAGAACCTTGAAATGACCGGAGGGAGTTAGCTGAGACTCCATAGGTCAGACCCTGTGAAATGGCTCATTAATTTTAATCATGTGCATATACTTTTTAATTTTAATTTAATCTGAAAAACACAGGCAAGATTCTGACATGTGCTACCACATGGATGAATCTCAAGGACATTATGCTAGGTGAAATAAGCCAGTCACAAACAGTCTGTGTGATCCTCTACTGTGGTCAAATTCACAGAGACAGAAGGTAGAAGGGTGTGCGAGGGGCTAGGGAGGAGGGGATGAGGAGTTAGTGTTCAATGGGGATAGAGATTGAGTTTGGGAAGATGAACAAGTTCTGGAGACGGACAGTGGTAATGGTTGCCACTGAATTGGACACTTAAAAATGGGAAAAATGGACCTGGCCAGTTTGGCTCAGCGGTATAGCGACAGGCAGCGGACCAATAAGTCATGGATTTGATTTATAGTTTGATTCCAACCAAGGGCACATACCTCATTTGCAGTTAGAGCTGGCCCTGGTTGGGGTCATGCAGGAGGCAGCTAGTTGATGTGTCTTTTTCACGGTGATGTTTCTCTCTCTCTCTCTCACTCTATCTGAAGATAAACAGAAAAATATCCTCCAGCGAGGATTAAAAACAAATGGGAAAGACAGTCAGTTTTATGGTTTATGTATTTTACCTAAATAAAAAACAACAACCCAGAAAGCATAGAAGCTAGTTCCTAAAACATGCGTGTACCACCACATGAAGAAGTAAATGTTAATATTTGGTTCTAATTGTTTCAGATATATGTTTTCCTTTTAATGAAAGAAAACAGTAGGGGCAAATTTGAAGCCCCCTCTCCCTCAATTTCAATGAAAAAAATCCCAAATAGTTTACAGTGAGAAGCCTCCCTCCCACTCTGGTCCCCCAATTTACCCCTGCCACCACTTTGGAGGCAATGAGCTTACCAGATCTTTATGTCTCTTTCCAGAGATAATTATGATTTCAGGCTGGTAACTTTAAGTTGAAAAGCATATGATAATTTAGCTGTGTTTAAAGCAGTACCAGAGTGTTTAAGAGAACACATTTCCCCCTCTTTATATGTTTACTTTTTGAATTTATAATAATTGCTAAGGATCCCAGAAGGGTTTGCTTGGCGGAGGCATTTAACAGATTAAAGAATGCAATATATCACTTTAATAAATGCCATCTACAATGCTTAAGCAATTTCAATCCACTACATTTCTTTTTTTTTTTTTTTTAATTTTTTTTTTATCCTCACCCGAGGACATTTTTCCATTTTTTGTACACATAGAGTGGGAGGGAGAGAGAGGAAGAGAGAGAGAGAGAAACATCGATGTGAAAGGGACACATCGAGTGGCTGCCTCCCGCACGACCAACCAGGGCCGGGGACAAACTGCAACCGAAGTATGTGCCCTTAGCGGGAACCGAACTCGGATCTCTCTGGACCGCAGGCCGATGCTCTAACCGCTGAGCCAAACCGGCCAGGGCTCCACTACATTTCTAAATGGACCCAAATATGGATCCAATGGCCTCTTGGAAAGTGATGGTCCACTTTGCCAGGTGTGAAAAAGTAACATAATAGCTGTAATTAGAACTACAGGCTGAAGGGAAACCGTGTTTCTCAAGGTACAACTTAAATGGATTATACATTTACTAAGTAACTACAAAGAGATTTTTCTAGGCATGAAGGCTGCCCCCAAGCCCAGACACTGGAATGAGTTTGTTTGATTTTAGGAACCAAAAGGCTAGTGTGGCTGGAGCAGAGGTAGGGAGGGGGAAAGGGGAGGACATGAAGGCTGGGAGGTGAGAAGGGGGTGTGTGGGGTAGATCGAGTGGGGCCTTGGGGGCTGCAGGGAGGGGAGCTTTTATCTCCAGTGAGGTGGGCTCAATGGAGAATTCAGCGTAGAGGAGGGACTGGTCTAATTTAGATTCTGCATAACTTTCACTTGCCATGGGGCGCCACTGGGTGGCTGGAGCGGATGGGAAAACTTGGGTGGTAGGGACTTATCTCCCATCTACTAATTAAAAACAAAACAACACAACACAAACAACACAACACAAACAACACAACACAAACAACACAACACAACACACACCCGGAACGCCAGAACCTGAGAACCTTTCGGACCCTTGACCTGTTCTTTGCTGCCCCCGCGTGGCCATAGCCTGAACTGCAGCGACATCGGGGAGACAGGTCTTCCTTTTCGGTGAGCAAAGGCTTCTTCCCAGCCCCATTGTGCCCGGTGCGGAGGGTCCTGCAATGGATCCGGCCAAGGACTGCGCTAGAGAAACTTCTAGAGGAGGAATGTGTGAGACACGCGGAAAGTCAGATGTTTGCAGATTAACCTGAAGAGCCCCGGTCTTCTCAGGAAATTGCAAATTGTGTTGGTTTCAGAGAGATTTTTAGAGGAAGGGTTTTTGGGCGGCGTCTTGAAGGACCAGTAGGAGCTTTTCAGGAAGGCACAATAAGAAAAGTCATTCTAGGCAGAAGGAAGGGCATGTATAAAGCAAAGTCAACACTGAACTCCTGTTATACCCCCTAGCTCCTAAACTTCTCATTCCAACCTGGGTCATGGGGTTACCATTTGAGTACCACACCTAGTACTCCACCTGAACGCCTCTCTTCCTCTCACTCCTGCCACCCCCATGGCACTTCCTGGGGCTGGACACCCATCACCTGGGAGATGGGTGCCTGTCCCACTCTTTAATTCCTAGTCGTCCACCCCAGTCCCAGAGGTCTCTTTTCCTGTCTCTCCCCTGCTCACACATCTCCCATGGCCCCCCAGTGCTCTAAAAAGGAAGCCTAGCTCATCAGCCTGAAGTCGTGGAAGACCCAGCCCTGCCTACCCCATGGTATCCTGTGAACAGCTGCACAAGTAATAATAACCACAGCACCTACCTCTACTTATTGAGGGCCTACCTGATGCCAGTCCGTGTATCATGCAGTTTATTTATTTATTTTAAATAATTTTTCTTTATTGATTTTAGAGAGAGGAAGGGAGAT